CCCCCCCCTTTTTTTTTTTTTTTTTTTGTTTTAGTTTGTTTTTGTTTGCTTGTTTGTCCGGACATTTTGTATTCCCCAACACCAGTTCGGACTGTCCGGGTCCGGTGATGTCCAGATCACCGGACAGTCCGGACCGGTCCAGACACTGGGAGTGTCTGGTGTCCAGGTCCTCGTTTACCATGCATGAAATTCTTTCATTTTGTTTGTTTGTTTGTTTGTTTGTTTGTTTGTTTGTTTGTTTTCTGTGACAGAGGAATTGTGTTATCTGCTTGAAACTGGGCCCAGTGTCGGCTACAGAAGATGAGACGTGCAACATTTCCCTCGGATATGGCCAAGGGACTCTAAGAAATGGCCATGGATTGCTTCAGATCCGGGAAGGATATAACCCCGCTCCGCCCCTGTTCCTAGCAGTTGCATAAATCCCCTCGCAGCTTGACTTCCTTCTTTGTCTCTTACTAAAAAAATAAAAATCCTTTCAATTGTTTCAGATACAGGGTAAAAAAAAGTTTAAAAAAAAACCTGAAACCTCGCTCTCACACAGCCTTGTACACGTTAAAGTTCAGGTTTACAACACACCTGCACAGGACCTCAAAGCTTCTGGAGATCATTTGGTATGCCAAGAGTGTGGTGCGGTAATCCCGAAGAACCACCACTCTTTTGAATAAGCTCCTGCTGCTTAAAATAGAAAAGAAAAACAGAAAGGGTGTGTTGATTCACCTGGTCTTCATACTTGAGAGCTGCCTCAGTGTGCCGGAAAGCCTCCTGCAAAACAGAAGCAGCATCCTTGCTCTCCAGAACAGTAGATCTCGTCTTTGGATCACTCAATAACTCTGTAACCTTTGCAGGCAATATCCTGCAGTAAACACGGAACCAACGGAGATTATAATTTATAACCCCCAAATTGAATGCAAACAAGCGACCTTCCCTTTGCTTCTGCATCTCTTATGACATACCAAAGGTGGCCAGTGTCTCTTTAACAAAAAAATAATAATAATAATTAAAATAAAAAATCAACATCAGAGTGATGATCAGACAGACCGGCCCTGGGTAATTCAGAATCATCACTTGTCAGCTTGTCGTGGAGTTAAAACTCGGGTCTGTATTTCAAAAATTCATGGGTGTACCAACTGAGCTAGGCCAGTTGGTAAGGTCGCTAGTGTGGTGCAGTCAATTTCTTTAGAATTCATGGGTGTACCAACTGAGCTAGGCCAAGTTGTAGTCGTGTCCAAGCAGAGAGTACAAATGCACCAAGAAACCATCCATATAGAGCAATACAATGAAGTAATGAGCCAATGTTCAAGCACGTAGGCCACACCAACACAGTATCCAAAGTCGCTCCTCTCTGTCTGGCGCCCAGCGCCCAGCCTACTCTACCCGATTATCCTACCTACAGCTGTGTTCACGCAACAGGCTCATTTCCGACTCTCGAAGACCAATGTACATGACTGTCAACACCATAGCCGACCTCTCTTCATGCACCAGGTACGTATCTCATCACCCTCAATCAGACCTTGATAACCCCACACTCGCCTCCTTCCCTGAAGACCACCAGATCACCCGCATTACCCCCCTATCGCCCAACAGCCCGGCTATGGCTGCCTGCACCCCGCTGCCCTGCAGCGCCCCACTTCACCTCTACGCGCCCCGTCAGCACCCTTGACCGCAGTTCAGCATCAAGCAGTAGTGCAGCAGCACTTCCGCATTGCCTACGCAGGCCAGAATACCTCGCCAGGGCGGCCTCACTTCCCATATGAAAGTGGCAGCCTGCTGGATGCTGCGTGTGGCCTTGCTGGAAGCTTCCAGTAGCTTCCGGTTCGGCCTCAGTCCCTGAGCCCAGGCCCGAGACCACAGTTGAGGGCCTGGGCCCCATTTACAGTTGGGCACGGCCTGAGTCTCCGGACTTGGGCTGTTTGCTGCATCTGTGCAGGGCTCCCAGGTAGGTGCGTCGACAGTACTGCTTTTGCCTAGGCCGAGGGCCTGCTTCTCAATGTATCTGCCCTGCTTTATGTGTATGTGCCCAGGTGCAACTGTCAAGGCCTGGGCCAACTGTACAACGCAGCTTAGCGAGGCGCGCGCATCCATTCAACCAACTGGCGTGCTGCAAGAGCCTGAATACCCACATATGAAAGTGTCGAATTTTGGCCTTTGACGAATATTCAGGCCCGCCTTTACTTAGGGCGGGCACTTGGCTTGCTGGGGAGCTTTGCCCAGAACATGTGATGTCCGATAGGGCCACGTGAGGGCTTGTTCCTCGCATTTGCTAAATATGCTGTTCTTTACACAAACGATGGAACCCATTAACAGGACAGGAAAAACACCAGAAAAAGAACTTCCCAAGGAAGAGAAAGGGAGAGGGAGAAGTGGCACAGGAGGAGAAGGCACGACATGCCAAAATGCACAATGTGCGCACGTTTCCTGGCGTGTTATAAATACCACTCCAAAGAGAAAGGCTGACTGTGACAGACTATTTTGTGGCAATCTTACCCGCACATGGAGTGTGTGCGAGAGAGAGAGAGAGAGAGAGAGAGAGAGAGAGAGAGAGAGAGAGAGAGAGAGAGAGAGAGAGAGAGAGAGAGAGAGAGAGAGAGAG